CGTCTTGCGTGATATCACCCTCACGCTTGAACACGAACTTGCCCTCCACTGCCGCACGGCACCACCGCCGCTCACCTCCTCGTAATCCACATAGAGCTCTCCCGACGACAGACCTGATGAAATGTCCACCACTGTCGTCATGGTTGAGTGATCGTCGACGTCCACCTAATGATGAGCGGACGTTGGACGTCAGAGCGCCGGAGTCATCCATCAGAACCAACACAGGATGAGCAAGCTAGACGGGTGCTTTAATCAATCATTTACCAGAAGCACTTAGTGACAGAACGCGCGCATGCTCAACCTCCATCAGGCAGATTTATTGCGGCCTTCGCTGTACCGTACACGCGTACGTACGGAAGAGGTCCTCTCTGGCATCATTGGAAGGCATCAGACATCAGCCTGCTATTACAACGCCCTTTCACCTTTCACCCAACGCCAAGCCGCGAACAAGAAGGAAAACGAGTCAGCTCGCCTACTATTCTGAAGCATTACTCTCCCAAGAATGAGACGGCTGCTCCAAGCATTGCCATGCATACATCGCTGCCCAGCGTGACGCACCAAAAAAACAACACGTTCACGCAGGCGTAGATTTCGACTGCAAGACAAGGGCCGCTACACGAAACCATCGTACCATCTTGATTTCTCCTGCCTGGCCAACGAGCCAATACGTGCTGCTGTCGGGGGTCTGCGCAGAGTTGAGATGACAAGTCAAGAGAGTGGGGGCGGAAGGCGCAACAGAGACGGGGAACAAGTTGGCCTGACAAAGTGACAGAAAGGGTCGGTTATGCGATTATTGCGGTACCAACAGTTCGGCAGTAGTGGGCACAGGAGCAAATTAGCAAATTAGTAGGCAATGGTACCGTGACAAGCCGTACACCTTGAAGCCTTTTACAAATGTTGAATAAATTTGCAGACCCTTACAGATGACGGGTTGTTGATTTTATCACTCTGTATGCGCATACAGTAGCTCCACCAACCTGGTACAACCCAATTGTACTTGAAGGGAAATCATCCTGGTTGTCGAACACTTGGGTCAGACCTGACGTGAAAATATCAGCTGCGTAAGGTGGGGAATGGGGAATGGGGGCGGGGGGGGGGGGGA